CTGTGTGTGTGTTTGTTAATTGCCCCTAACAGTTGTTGAACACCTTTGCCGGCCTTCATGAAACTTGGTAAGTATATCATGCTTCCTGAGGCCATCTCAACCGAGCACTGCATAAATCCCTCTCATCAGTAATATCAGCACTTAAGCCTCTCAAATCGTTGAGGTAACAATCTTAATATGACTCGAATGCCTGGGCAAACTGTCATTAGATGAAGATATGATGGATAGTGTCCAGAAGGAACAGTTTCTAGTATTATTGGGTTCATTAACCAGACATACAAAGTGGGTTTCCAGTTATTGCATCAGATACTCCAATTGCAGTGAAACGAAAGTGTGCGAGTAATATTGTGGAGAATTCCTTATCTGATTTTATCTCCATAATTTATAACAAACTTTGTGCACTGATGCAGACTGCATTTGCTAATGCAATGTTTTGAAACTGACGTGTTGCACGAGGAAATTCAAAGCAAGCACACTCGTACATTCAACATTAATGTGATTTGCTCTTACAGAATTTAGGTACATCACCTCAGAGTTTTGCCTTTGTAGACGGTATACATTCTGCTTCTGATACGAATGTAACACTGCCATCCAGAGCTATACTCGTTTATCTGAAATTTCTGGTAGCTCAGTACCAAATATATGTACTGCCTGGTATTTCTTCTTTCACACTGACACTGAGTACACTCATACTGGGTCATCTGAGTTGCATGGATGGAAAAGGCAGGTATGCAATCAGGCAGGCTCAAGGGGAAGACACAAGTAGACTAAGACAGGCAAGCAGGCAGGCAAGTATCCCAGAAAGAAGAACACATCTGCATAACAACCACATGTTCCTTAAAACCCAACATTTAACAGTTCAAAACTAAGTGTGAAAGCAAAGAACAACAAATTTAACTCCTATAAGAGGGACTGCAGCTCTACAACTTACCTCATAAATCATAGTATACTGTGGTGGAGACATTTCCACTGTCATTAAGACACACTTGTGCGATAGAACATAACGAGAGGTTGAATCATTTCCGCCAGATCTCTACAGAACACATCACTGAAGATTTGCATGTTCATACAGTCAGATTTGTCTCATTGCAAAACAGTTCATAAACGGGTCACGCAGAGCCCACCAACTGCAAAGTCCCAGCAGGGTTCTCAATTCTCCAACATTAGCCTGAAAAAAAAGAATAAACCCTCTTACTTCAAAGAAATATACGATGCAGCTCCAGTAGAACATCACAATGACAAATACATAATTAGCTTAATTAAACAGACAACAGTTCAAGTTAAACAAGTATGCCAAAGCATTTTACCACTGTCACAATTTCAATTATAACTTGAGTAAATTTCATCACATTTTTTTATATATATTACATAATTAACTGAAAAAATTCATGTCAAGTCAAACCTGTGTGTTTTCTACCTCCTCATTCCAAGAGAAGCCCCATGAATGCTATGTAACTACAGTGCCAGCTGGAAGGTTGCAAGAGGAAATCGGGCTGTCAGGCAGGCAGATAAAGGCAGAGAAAAGGTCTAAACATGCTGAAGAAAGGGCTTCCACTTAAGACAAGTCAGAAGCACATATGAGACATTCAGGATCATGACACTTGAAGGATAAATCCTCTGGCATAACTGAAACAGGTTACTCAGAAACCAAAATTTAATACGTGGCAAAGAAGACTAAATGAACAGAACAACTAACTTAACTCCAGCAGGAGGAAAAGCTGATGTAGCTGTTACCTCGTAATGCCGGTATGGTTTCGCAGTATCACTTCCACTGTCAGTAGGACCACTTGTGTCTCCCTAATATACCCAGGAGTAGACCATTTATCACCAACATTCATCACCACATCTTAGTGGATTTGCCTGTTCATTCAATGACAACACTCTCACTGCTGCTAACGTCTGTCAATGGAGAAACAGGGTCACCACAGTCAGCGACTTCCCACATTTCCTTCATCTCCAAAATATTGCCTCAGGGACAAGAAATTGACCCTACTTTCCTGAAATATATCATGAAATTCAACTAGATATCAAAATGACAAAAAATTATCTTAATTACGAGAAACAACAGTTATAATAAAATACGTAGGTCAAATCATATTGTAACGTGTCGGCAAACCAGAGGAGTAACTTCTATGGAAACGCTACAATAGACCGTTACAGAGGAGACAACAATTGCTCCATTCTAATTCTAACAGGAGTCTCCATGGTTATAAAGGAGGGTTCGTTGCCTAACAGCGGGCAAGGTTATAGATAGCCCAGCTTCAGCGAAAAACAGGGAGTCTCGGAATAGACTTCGAAGAATAGAGTCGCGGAACAGCCATCGGAGAAGAAGCTTCGGAATATCTGTCTGGGTCCAGTATCGCCGGAATATTGTAAGCAGTGATTGTGACACTGCAAGTGAAAATGCCTGTAAAGTGTGTGTAAGTGGGCGAAAGGAATAAATTCGCTATATTGGGACAACGGCGGAACTTATTTGTAGCGTTATACACCACAAAACACGCTACAATATTTAACAATAATCTAATTACATTACAATTTAAATCAACTATATCACATTTTTTTCTGTTACATTACAAAGTGAAACATTTCAATTTAAAGCAATAGTATGTGCTTTTCACTCCCTTAGTCCAATGAAAGACACATGCATACGAGTACTAGGTAAGAATAGTTTTAGTTGCATTGATGGCAAAGGCAGGCTCAAAAGGGAAGACACAAGCAGACTAAGTCAGCCAGGAAGGCAGGCAGGCAGGAAAGTGTCCTAGAAAAAAGAACACATCTGCATAACAACCACATGTTCCTTAAAACCCAACATTTAACAGTTCAAAACTAAGCGTGAAAGCGGAGAACAACTAATATAACTCCTATAGGAGGGACTGCAGGTCTACAACTTACCTCATAAATCACAGTATGCTGTGGTGGTGATATTTCCACTGCCATTAAGACACACTTGTGCTATGTAACATGACCAGTACTAGATCCATTTTCCTCAAATCTCTACAACAGATGACATCACTGAAGCTTTCACATGTCATATAGTCAGATCTGCTTCATTTTAACTCAGTTCATAGGAGAATGACACGAACTCCTTAGAGGTTTTCTAATTCTCCAATATTTGACCTGAAGGGAAAAAATATATGACAAAGTTCGACTACATCATCATGACAAATACTTAATTATCTTAATTATAACAGAGAACAGTTAAAGTTAAATATGTATGTCAAACCATTTTAACAGTGCCTCCATTTCCATTATAACTTGAGTCAATACGATCACATTTTCTTATATCTCATGTAATTAACTGAAAAAATTTATCTTAGGTCAATAGTGTGACTTTTCTACTTTATCATGCCAATGGAAGCCATATGCATTCCAATTAAGAGCAATGCCAGCTGGAAGGTTGGCTGAGGCAAGCAGGCACGCACGCAAGCAAGAAAATGAATAAAACGCGGGTTTATACATGCTGAAGAATAGTAATGCAGAGAGGCATGGAGACTAAGACAAGCAGATGCAGATAGGTGCAATTCATCAGGTTATTGTCACTTGAAGGAAAAACTGATGACATAACTGAGATATGTTTCCTAAAATGAGTAATCGTAGAAGACCCGATATCTGATTCTGGTATCCTATAAATAAATGATGAAAATTTTGGAGTCAACCTGATGCTCTGCATAACACAGAAGAACAAGCCACAAAACAATAAGAGATATTACAGGAGGGACAGGAGGAAATAAAGACCATGATGAGTGTTAAGATAAACGCACAGGAAACACTTACGGAAATGACCTACGAAAGAGAAAATATACATCAACTGTGATGCTGCTGATAATCATCATTATTACTACCATATGAACACAAAAATGAGGATAAGAAATAGCCATCATTTATTTATCTGTAGCTGTGCTGACATTCACTGCCAAATTAGAATAAACAGTCAAATTGTGCTGTCTCTCTTCACAACAACCATAGTGGCTATACATTCCAATAAGTTACGAAAAATACTCTGCATATAATTCCACACGATAATGTTCACAACAGCACGGAATAATCCAGCTCTTCGAGTAGTCTTCTTAGACGCACCTGTGCAGCCTGTACTTACCTCATCTCTCTGCACTGACAGCAAGACGCTTACCTCTACCCAGAAGGAAGTAGTGCACGATGTCTGCATGCGGATGGTCAACTGACATGTCAAAGCAAGACATTCTCACGGAAGGCCAGCTCCTGTGCTTGCACCAGGTATATCTGTAAGACAATATCGAATATCAGTAAAAGATTCTGAGACATTTTACAGGTTTGGAGAATGCAATGGATACAATGGATCTCTGCTGAAGAATAAGGAACATTTCAGTACGCTTTTCACTTCTCATACTTTTCACAGACAGGCTGTATCTACTTGTATGTATTGCCAAATAATGGAAACAGTGCACACGTTACAACAGAAACTTTGGCCCATCAGTTCACCTGTTCACCAGTGTTCTAAGTCAGCACGTGCAACCAGGGCAGCAGATGCACAGGGTACTGCCCATCCCCTCACATTACTGGCATGTGAGAGAAATGTCTAGCCGAGGTTCAGTCACAAGGGAACGATGTGGAGAATAATACAGCAAGTATCTGCAAACCACATCATTGCTCCTAACATCAAAATTGAACTCTGAATTTGTAGCCACCTTCACATTTATGGACACAAGTGTGTTAAAGTGGTCACACTTGTGACTTGTATTCCAAGGAGCCATGGTTTGAATTCTGCCCAAGGCACTGACTACCCTGACTGGCTGGGGACTTTTTTCTGGTTTTCCTCACTCCCTTCAGGAAAAAGCTGAGGCAGTAACTTAAATTATACTATTACTGCTTCCATCCACATCTCTTCCAATCGTTATTACCATCTGATGCAGTTTCAGTCTCATTTACTGTCGCTGAACTACAAATAAAAAATAAACAGGTGTGGAACAACTTCCAGCTCCAAATACAGGCAGATGCTGGCACGGCACCTCATTCTAGATCACAACTGCCTCTACATATTCCGACCTACTGACAGTATTAGTATACAAACCATAAATAAACAAAATTAAGAAAAACAAAACAACTTCTGAAACCAAAGTTTTCAAATAATTATCATCATCAATACATTCCAAACAGCACAAAACCAGTCACTACAATTCATTAACCTCTGACGCTGTGTTGAGTCACGGCTGCTCTGGGTGGAGGCACCTGTGTCCTCTCTTTATCACATCTTCCACAGCTCCTGGGTGCTCTACTATTCTGCAAGCTAAGAAAAGACCCACAATGGCCATTTGGCTCTGATGTAACAGGGTGCCTAGGAGAAAATGTTTCCCCCAGTATAATATATCTAAAAACATCAGTACTTATAAAATAATCATTTGCAATCATGAAAACACAACAGAATTAATTATTTCTATGTTTCTTTTACTTCCTTTCACAGTGAAAGGCAAAAACACAAATTCTCACTCTACGATCAGTGAGGTATAGTATGTTATGCGAAGTGTATCACTGCAACAAAATAACTTTCTTCGTAAATATTCAGTTTTTCTTGGTAGTAATTGGTCTAGAAGTGAACACAGAAACAACTAAATATATATTTATGTCTTGTCCTTAAAGACAGGGCAGAATCATAACAAAAAACATAGCTAATCAACTCTTTCAAGGAGTTGGAACGGTTAAATAAATATTTTGCAAAAAAAAAAANATGAAATGTGAAACTCTGCACAGAAACTCAGATGACCGTAATCGTTACAATAGTTTCTGAATGGACTGCCGTTTTATGTTTAATTAATACATATGTGCCACTTTTCAACATAAGATTACAGGCCATTTTGTGCATGGAGTTTACATATGGGGTCAGTGTGAGTATCAGAACAGACAGTGAAGCTTTCACTGAAGACCATTAGCTGATAGATCACTGTCAAGTTGATGCGGAATGTTTCATTGAGGTAGAATCCTGTCTCTATTATTAAACTGTTACGAGAAGGAAGAAATATAAGCACGATGAAGAAGAGTACACCGAGGAGCTACTTAACATGTACTCTTCGATACATGTTAAAAGAGTGATGCGATCAGCTCAGCAGACTCCTACAGTGGCATTAGAGTTTGAATCTCCATTCCTTCAACATATATGTTGACTGCAGCTTGGAGCGGTTTTCTTCAGTTATTCCATGCAAATGTCACACTACACTAATGCCATGATGTTCCCATCCTATTCCTGTTCAATCAAATCTTACTGTCTCATTCCGTTCTACATACACTCTCAGATGACACAGCATCGATAAAAAGCATGAGAACCAATTTGCCAAAGGCAGTCCACTCACTGCAGTAACAACGCTTTGAGGGTCAAAGTAGGACAAGCTCCACAAGAGAAGCTATAGCAGTCTAGTTCATGCTAAAGGCCACAAGAATGAGCAAACATCACACAAGATCTGCATATAAGAAAACACCGTTAACAGCCCGTGGAGGCCCATAGGTGTGCGAGACGTTAAGGTTCCCACATTTTCTAGACAATCGGCTCGCAGATGGCGGTAAGGTTGTCAGCCTTACGCGCCAGCCGCTCTTTACCACCTACATTCCAAGAATATTACTGGTACTCATTTTCTGCTAGAGGCTTGAATCGACAAAAAAAAAATAATCCAATGACCTCATCGGGATTCAATCCCATGGCCTTCCGGCTTGTAGCTCATTACCTCAACCAACAGCTGTACTGTCATGAAAACTGTTGCCCCCTGGGGTGCCAACCTGCTGTCTAGGTAACTGAAGTTATGAGCTACGACATGGATGGCCAGAGTGCGATCCCTGCTAGAAAGGTAAGGGATGCTACTTTCTTCGACACTGTTCGGGGCAGCACTGAGGCCCAACCACCATACCACTACAGATAAACCTAAATGGGGATCCTTCCATAGTACAGGCAGCTGCATCTTCAAAATAATCACGTTCAGNTCCAGAGTACAATATTCATTTCTGCCTGAAATAATGTCTCTTTGCCCTGATCAACTGGATGCCACGCATCAAATTATGGGGAAAGTACTATTAACAAGATTGTGAAAATATACAGCGCACACTTAACACTGACATTTGGCAGAAGGATTTACGATTCAAAAAATTAAGACTATGCTGAACTCTTACCTTGTCACCACCAGCCACTGAATTCACACGCAACTATTCACTGTCGGGTCAAGATACTCACAATGATGAGAAGTCAAAGATATAGTGCCCCTCAGAATGAATTTCAGATTTCTGAAATATGAAAGTCCAAAACTGAGCTCATTATGTCACTATTAATTACCTCACCAAATGTAGGCCTAAGAACTACACAGAAAATGTATTGGCCATAAATGGTGCACTGTTCTTTAGAACTTCTGTTCAAAATATTATTCCCTAATTTGAACATTTAACCAGATGTGGCCAGAAATGCATGTGGGGCCTTCATTTAAAATGGTCATTAAAACATTTGCTCTCCTCCATGCTGCTTTCTTGCTTGGCTCATTCTCTCACTTACAAGATGGACATAACACTCTACTCTCAAGTGTATCCCGAATATCAACAGACTACACAGCTTTGTATTCCAGAAGACAAGAGCTCTCAAATTCCGATCGAAACAAAACTCATTAAAATGGAGCATACCTTATGCTTTACATGTCCAACATCATCTTTTAAAACGTGAAACCATTTCAGGAAATTTCAAAACAAACAAGATGTAAACTTCTACTAGATAACACTGTGTCATTCAACATAGAATCTAGACATCTTTCATAAAGTTTCATGTGCCCTGCAGTAAATACTGTCCTCAATTTTAATACGATACTGCAGCTCGCCTCCAACTAGGGCACAGGTCAAGAAAACGCCTGTCTATATATCCACAACCCCACGTCTTCGTGGCGCAAGCGTACTGCTCAATTACTTAAGCACCGTAAGAACACCCACAACCTTCGTGCTTCTTCCTAGGTGGAAACCCACACAAAAAGCAACAGGACTGTGTATCTTACCTCTGTTATTTTTAAACAAGAGGTCGGAATACAGAAGATTCATGCATTCTCGAAATTCAATGCGATCTCGGTTTATTTTCCTATGAAATTCTGGGTCCTGGAATAAGTAAACTTTGTTGCATTTTCTAAGGATATATTTTGCATCTTTGGCGATAAGACATGGGCATATACTTACCTTTCTCTGGAGTGCAAAAAAATAGCCTGGCTAAAAGAGTGATTGTGGCAGACCCGATATTTGATTCTGGTATCCTACAAATAAAAGATGAGAATTTTGGAGACAACCGGACGCTGTGCATAATGCAGAAGAACAAGCCAATAAGAGAAATTACAGGAGGGGCAGGGGGAAATAAAGACAATGGTAAGTGTGAATATAAGCACAGAGGATGGAAAGACAAGAGAGCAGTAACAACATAGGAAAGAAACATCCATGAAATGTGATGCTGCTGATAATCACCATATCATACCACATGAACACAAAAAAAAAAGGTACGAAATAGCCATCACTTATTATCTGTAGTTATGCTGACATTAGCTGCCACATTAGAATAAACAGTCAAATTGTGCTGTCTCTCTTCACAACAAACATAGTGGCTATACATGTCAGTAAGGTATGAAAAATACTCTGCATATAATTCCACACGATAATTACAAATGATAAAACAATTCCATCCAGTGTGACAGTTGAAGCTTTTTGCTTCACTTCTTAGCACCCTAACATGTTTCGGTCTCTATAGACCATCATCAGAGGGAACATCAATACTTTTAGAAACTACTATTACATTGGGTGCTTTGAATTTTAAAATACATAAATATACAATATTTGTGAAGTGGGGGCGGAACACAATCGAGTACACTGCATTTATTTCAGCCTTCCATGAAGCCTGTTTAACAGTAGGCTTTTCTGTAGACATTTGAAGACCATATGTAATGGTCATGTTAATTAATTTTATTGTAGGGAAGAAATGGAAAGTTTATCTTACAGGTATTCAGAACTCTTCCATAATATTACTGCCTTAACCCTTTCACTGCTAGTATGTTAAGTAACTCTCAGTAATTTTCATTTCATGCATCCTGTTGTGTTATAATATACAACTTCTTTATTACAACCATCACCCTCGGTGCTGAACTAATTTTGAATAAATCTTATATAAATAATTAAAGTGCAAAGTATGAAAATTTGTGATAAAATGTAACTAATCTTACCTCAGACAGGGAACAGGCATCAGATGTTGCAAAAATGTTGAATTATTCAGTATTTTTCAGAGGGGAAAAGTCCATTAAATTNCCTGGCCACCACTGTCCGCCATGTTCCAAAGTCACTATGTCACATGTTGACCAAATTCCACAACTTTATTTAAAACTATTATAGAAAGAACTGTTCACTATACAAAGCCATTTATACTAGCCCTGTGAAATACCCGCACCACATGACCATGGAGTGCATGCCTCATGGTCCTCACGGTGTACCTGCAACCTTTACATTTCTTAAGCTAGAGGGCAGAAGAATGAAGCAATTAAAATGGATGATGCTTCATTACGTNCCCAATAGATGACTCTATGAACCCGCCAAGTTTGAATCAGATTGGTGCAAAGAAACCTGAGATTTGAAACTCTAAAGTTGCAATACGGGTTTTGTTGATCGCAGCAAGTCCACCATGTTTTTCAGCAGCAGCAGCAGCAGCAGTGTTAGGGCTAAAGTTATAAATAAATGGAAAGGGTGGATCAGATACCATGTTACTACTTTCATTTCTGAAAGCTGTAAAATCCCCAGTTTCCCCACCACAAACGTGAAATAGTTCCTAGCAGCCATTTTTCACCCTCTCACTCTCCGATCCAAGGTTGGTTCTTTAGTGGTAATTTTCCCACACTACCATATCTGACCAATGTCACAACAATGCACTATGATACAATACTTTTATTCAATATGCAAAATGTTCACTGTATGTTCTTTTTTCTTTCTTACATTCATGTTACAGGTTAACTACTATAAACCCAGTAACAACGCATCAACTTTTCTGTGGGTCACTTTATGACACTCCCACACAAAACTGTCAAATGACATGATAACAGGAGGGACTCAAAGAATCTGGAAAGAACTAGCCATGACTTGACACACTAACCCAGAATTTTAATGAAGGGACTGAGGAAAAGCATGCACAACCTTCAGTTAGGGTGGCTGGTGTCCCAGCTAAGGTTTGAAGCAAGAGTCAACACAATTTACTTCCATGCTAACCTGTTCAGTAACAAAGCACCAAAATCATAGTTTCCAGTTCGTTCACTTCCCTGCCAATTTTGATAACATTAATTTTTCTGATATATTACCTATATTAGAGTCAGATGTAAATCATTATCAATGTATATGTGATTTATTTCTCATGCTGTTAATACCTAAATTTAGTGTATCAGTCTCACTACGTATCCTCAGGGGGTATACATATTATTCAGGAAACTTTACACTTTACATACATAAAAACAAGGATTTAAAATCATTCACAAAATTTGTAGGAGATATTACAACCAATAATTTGTTAAAATTCAGTTATGCAGGTTGTCACTGCATTATGTGATTATGGTGGTGGTATATTCTTTTTGTTTTTGATTGTCAGTAAGAAGCTCTGCAGGCCAGTTGCAGTTCCTGGTGGTCGAAGCGCTTGACGGTTTAGGTACTGGAGATGGGTAGCCTTGTGCGTGTTGAGCTTTGTAGACAACAGACAGCAGCAGACGGTTTACCGGTGGACATAGAGAGTACTGTCAGAGAGATATATCAGTATTCCCACATTTATACTGCGTGTGTTCAAACACTAAAGAATTTTTGTAACTGCTAATGTGGAACATCACATCAAAACGTGACGGCTTTCTCTGATGCCTGCAGTTACAGGGACAGTCGTTGTGTACCAAGCTCTTGTTTCACATTTCTCTCAACTGAGAAGTTCCCTACCCTGCTGAAGAACTTCTCTAAAGTAAAAAACCCTTTCCGTATCTAATTTTTCTATAAAATCAACTGAGATGTTTAATGCTCTGTTGATTTTATAGAAAAATTTTATAGAAAAATAGGAACTTGAAGAAAGGGACTGTTTCAGCAACAGAAGTGAAATGCATAACTGATGCCTTGTTGGTGACAGCTGATAACAAGTCTCCAAGAAACAAATCTTCTCATCGAGATGAAAGATGCAGGTGAAGTAACATCACATAAGTTTGACTTCCATGTGGGCAACTTTTATGTCACAACTAAATACATTATAGAATGGATCCTTCCACTTCATGATCTGAAGGTGTCATGGATAATATTACACAAAAATCACACCTGGGAAAATGTTCGTAAGTCACCATCATTTATGAAGAAGAAAATAATCCTTACTCAGCCACCTGATGAAACTGGATTTGATGAATATTGTTGAGTTTCAAAATACATGAACGAGAATTCTGGAATTTTAAAGAAGATAATACTAGCACCATCACAGAAATGCAGCTGTGGAAACTGTCTTCACTTGTAAATGTCTTATGGATAGATGAAACAAACTGGTTACAAGTGTCCACTATGAAATAAAGAATTACTGCTACATTTTGTTCAACTTGTAGAGCGAATGCCTTACCAAGGAAGCTCTGGATGGGCTTGGAGACTTCAAATTAGGAGGGCAAATTATTCAAACTGTGAAATATGCAGATGACCTTGTGTTAATGGCTAAGGAAGAAACTGTGCTACAGGGCATGATTGATAGACTAATTGAAATTGGAAGGTGCTATGGCATGGAAATGAATGTGGAGAAAACAAAAGTAATGAAAATTTCGAGACAACCAACCCCAGTCACAATAAAGATAGACCAAAAACAACTGGAGAATGTGAAATGTTTTAAATATTTGGGTAGCTTGTTAACAGATGATGGAAGGTGTACTTGTGAAATTAAATCTAGGATTGCCATGGCAAAAGCTGCATTTAGCAAGACGAAGAATCTTTTTACCAACAAACTGGACTTAAATTTGAGAAAAAAACTAGTGAAATGCTACATTTGGAGCATGGCTTTGTATGGTGCTGAAACTTGGACACTTGGGGCAGTAGATCAGAAACACCTGGAAAGCTTCGAAATGTGGTGTTGGAGAAGGATGGAGAAGATCAGTTGGACCGATTATGTGAGAAATGAAGAAGTGTTATTTAGAGTCAGTGAGCAGAGAAATATCCTACATGAAATAAGAAAACGGAAGGCTAATTGGATTGGTCATATCTTACGCAGTAACTGCCTTGTAAAAGATGTTATTGAAGGAAAGATAGAGGGGCGGATAGAAGTGACCAGAAGACGAGGAAGAAGATGTAAGAAGATGCTTGATGACCTTGGGGACAGAAGAGGATATTCTCATTTGAAGGAGAAAGCTCTAGATCGCATTAAGTGGAGGAACTGTTTTGGAAGAGACTGTGGACCTGTCCTCTGACAGATTACTGATGAATGAATACAACTTTACCAAACTTCTGCTAAGGCAATTTTTTTTCTTTCAGAATTCTCTACACCATTCTAACTCCCTACACGCACCTACCACCACAAACATCAGTAGGGTAGAAGCGTGTATGGTTATGAAACAGATGTTTTAGCGTAGCCCCAGATTACAGGCGAAATGAAAATATAAAACGCAAATTCTTAAAACATTATGTGTATAGGCTCCTAACCTACAGTCTCCTGAGGTAAGAGGACAACCAATTCTAAATACAAATACGTCTGGTGATTACGTGGCTCAATAATGGCTGCATTTCGTGTATACAGCTTAACTTACCACTGTACTTTCCTTCCCATCCTTCCGAGTTCCATATCCTGTTCACTTTACCACGCTTTGACATTATTGTAATTAGAAATGAAAATGTCTACACTTTTTTCACCATACTTCTTCGTTTTAACACACACTGGCTCGCACACACGTCAACCAGGGATATTTCTTCCGGGGTAAGCCGGCCGGCGTGTGAAACTGATCACGCACCTCTGTCTAGTGTCCAGTTAAAAATATTGAAGACATCTCCACTCCCACATACTTGTTAATGGCGTTGTGCTTAATTAACTAAATAACAAAAGTGACAAATTGCCTCTATTATTTGCTTTCCAACACTTTCCATTATGCTGTGCGTGGATTTGCTAGTTGCCACGGCTCAACTTTGCTCCTCGTCCTCGCTGCTGTCGTATAACTAACGGGACAAGTACCGAACCCCTCCACAGCCTCCACATCACTGTCACAGATGACTGGCTGGCGCGCTGTATACATAATGGGTCGCAGTAAGCACCTCCCCTCAAACCCCTTGACAGGTATTACATCATCGTTCTGGCTATTGTCTGCACGAACAAGTCAGCGGTACTTCTATGATACCAAGATCATCCCAAGGTCATGTCACGACATTACTGTATTTTATCAGCCTTCCATAAAGCCTGTTTAACAGTAGGCGTTTCTGTGGATATCAGAAGACAGGGAAGAAATGAAAATTTATTTTACGGATATTCAAAACATGAAATATTTCAGTGCATACATAATTAATTTTAAAATTGTACGATTAATAGTGTTATATTCATTTCATGATTACAGTTAAATGGTAGATTTTTGTTGATATGTATTTGTCTGATGATGGCCGATAATGGCCGAAACATGTAGCAAAGCCACAGCTGTACGCTGACTTTGATGTTTTACTATTTGCTGTGTTGTGACGGTTCATTAAAGAGTTGTAAGTCTAAGGTTGTAATAATACTGACACTAGCAAACTATGTTACCAGAAGATCAAGGTTGAAGAAATAACTGTTGCAGCCGCTCACGCTGGTTCCCCTTCGCTCATATGTCTCTACCCTGAAGATGGAGGCGATACGTTCCTCTGAAATGTCGATTCACCCAAGATCTACACAGCCCCACCATTTAACCATTTAACTGTAATCATGAAATG